AACAAACACTGCCTCCAGTGTGATCCCGTGCATTTTGAGAAAGAGTGCTTTGATGTCGCCACCTCGGCAGACAGCGCATTAAGAAGAGGACGAGAGCTGATACGCATTCATCATAACACTGAGCAGAGGCTGCCGCTTAAATCCAAAGCCCGCAGGTTGTTGCTCAAGCACACCAGGAGCCTCAGACTATCCAGACAGTCAAGAATTGGTTGTGCCCGTGTTGACACTCTTGACATGTCGCTCTGGTGAAGCGGCGAAATCAAGCTCCAGACTCACCACCTAAGGGGGCAAGAGCCAGCGCCAAAGCTGGTACCTGAAAACTCAAGCTGTGAGCGTGCTGCGGTGCTTCGTAGCTCTTCGTGATATGTGAAGACGATGGAAAAACAGGAAACTTATGCGAATATCAGGATGTGAAGCTTTGTCTACCGGAAGTGACGCAGAAGCTTTCGGAGTGCTAAATCGCCTTAAAAAAGGTATATCCCGGCCTGGCCCTGTAAATTCATTGCCAAGCTGCACCGACATGATCTGCCACGTTCGAGGTGAAGACGGTCGAACTGTCCTTGGCATGAAAAACGTGCACACCACACGGTTTGCAACGAAAGCCTAGGCGGAGACGGCAAATTTCTCTGCCTGGCGGACGGTGACTTTAAATACTTGCTTTCACTTCATGAAGAATGCAGGCACGAACGCATGATGCCCGCGCAACTACAAACTTCAGGTAGATGAACAAAAAAGGGAGTATACTTCGCCCGGCCGTCAACGACACTGCAGCGACTGGTGGGTATACCTCTTGCCTGACAGAACTGTAAAGGGGAACGTTTCTTCAACTCTGCGGCTCTAAGCCTTGTATTGTTCTATTACTAGGATTCGGCGTTGGAGAGTCTCATATTGTCAAGCTTCCTATTATTCGTGCGTCTAAATAAGGGTCCCGGTTGCCTGAACCTCCCATGTACCCACTTGCGGCTTGGGGTCTAGGCTTTCGAATGTAAGGGTTTCGGGTTAAGAACTTAAGGTTTGGAGTCTAGAGTTACCCTGTTTTGCAAGCAGCATGACACTTCAGGCAGCCCTGCAACCGCATTGCCTCAAGTGCGGACGAGCTGCTTCCTGTGAGGATCACTGGCAAAGCCTCGAGAGGTGCCCCAAGCAGAGCGCGGCAGACGGCTCTCGACTAACAAATCATCAAATCTGCAGTCCTGGGGCATGGGCAAGACAGTCGCAAGCAATGCAGGACCAGCTGACTCTCTGATGCTGAAACCTTTGATCGACCACACATTGCAGGACAACCGATGTCTCAATCTGAGGGCATCGCCATGCTTCTGATATCTCTGCCATCACCGAGAGAAACCTCGGCCTTGAGTCGCGGGCAGCCCCAGCAAGCGACCGAAAATCACTGTCCGACGCCCGACGCAAGATCGGAGTGAGCGCGTGACAGCAGTGCTCCGCAAGCTCGGAGATACTCGCCTCGACCGGGCTGACCCTGGTCCTGGCAAGACAAAGAAAGAGTGGGTAACCCTCACAGCTCCAGAGAAGCTCTTTCACTTTAGAAAGAGAGATGTCCGCTCCGTGCAGTTTCTGTGGCTGCAGCGTAACCCACGCCGAAGTGCCACTGTCGAAACCGAGTGCTCCGTCCGGATTTTTGCATGTGCTAATCTCAACGGAACCGTCTCGCTAAAGGGCTGTGGCGGAATGACTTGTGCAATGGCGTCTGCAACATATACAGCAACTTGTACGGGGGTATTCAGAGCCAAGGCACCGGATCGAACTCGGCGTCCGATTCCGGCCTGAATGAACATGGCATGCGAGGCGTTGCGAATCGTGAATCCAAACCCCTTTACGTGTTCGCCTGAAGAGGAATCCAAGGATTTCGCACGATCAAGCCTTCGCGTTATATCGATTTTTTGTCGTACTTAGTTACTTCCACTACCGGCCATGCTTGCTCACCTTGCTACGGCATTGCGCTGAGCATAACCATCCATAAGTCGCAGACCATAGCAGAACACCATCGCCAGCTTCCTGCAACTTGCCACTTAGACAGGATATCGGCATATTGCGATTCACACTTCGTGCCAGTTGTCTATCGCATCTCCAGCCAAGGCAGGATAACGTGACTCAAATTTTTGCAAGATACTACAAACGCATCAAGTCCTGCCACCCGCTGGGAGGCTTCTTTTCCCTGTACCTCGACCCGTGCTCCGGAGACTAAGCACCCAGTCTGAGCAACCAATCTGTATCAAGTGACAAATCATGGCGATGCTATCGAGGTCTTCGGTTCGCTTGCGGTTCCGATTTCACTGACGAAGAGCTGCCACACTTGCCATGACTAACTCTGACCCTGTCATATCTAATGCCATGAAATTCTGCAAGCTCTGTGTTGCGGGCAAGTTGTAAAACAAGTGCGCCGCTTGGTGCAGCAGCCTGGATCGAATCAGCGCCGGAACTGTTCTTAGAGATTTTGACTGGCATGCCAACTTGGCTTGGCTGCGGCAAGAGCAAGCATGTCATTCGTGTTGCTGTTCGATAGCAGCAATGCTTCACAGAGGCCAATTGCACTTGTTCGGACAACAGGATGCAAAGAGTACCATGCGTCAGAAGAAGGGCAACCCGCACCAACTCCTGTCAAAGCCACGTCAACCTGCTAGGTTCTGGTCAGCAAGCCCGTAGTAGCTGCAGCGAGTCAAGCACCACGCTGCACAAGCCGACAGGTTCTGTCCGAACTGAGATAAGCACGTAATGTTGTCGACACACGGAATACCTGTCACCAGGTGTTTTGCACCGTGCATCGCCTTCATTGGGCCTATATGACGTGTTATGCATGGAGGAAAAGATGTCGACACCGACCCCATTTCGGCCCCTCCATGTTGGAGGAACTTTGGCAATGCCACTTCCTTCTCGCCACACACTCGTATCTACCACTGAAGTTGACCTCACTCACATCGAAAACTTTTCCTCTGCGACTACCGGAGACTGCCATTTCAGGAGTTAGGATTAGGGAGACCTTTGGGGATATAGATAAGTCATAAGTAGGGGGGAGAAGGGCCCTTTAAGGGGTCTCCCTAATGCTACCTCGGACGTTTTGCATGTCTGCATCGGGCTGAGAGGCCTGCTGCGATTGGCACAGCTGATAGAAGCTGCGAGTTGTTCTCAGCTTAAGTTCCTGTGGCTATTGCAGTCAATTGTAGCCGCAGACTTCCCTTGAAAGAAGGCGAGGCAGATGGCTTGCCTTGGCCGGCAAACAGCTGCAAAACCTGTCGAGGTGTCAAGTTCCCGTTCGCTTCTAGTGTCACTCGAAAGAACGCCAACCAAGAATGGCTCTGCTGCTCTGCTTGCGTTTGTCGGGACTTCCTGTTCTGTCGCCGCTCCTCGGTGTTGTGCTTTCCTTCTCGTAGCGCAGCGCTGCTTGCGCTTCAAAAGGGTTCCAAGAAGCCTTGAGATTGAGTCAGGCCTCGCGCATCTTGCAATCCTCACCAGGCGAGGCCTGAAGAACCTCCAGGCACGGGACATTCAAAGCTGAAAGGACCTCGGAGTGCTCACCTCGTGCAGGTCTTCAGCGCTTCTAGAGGTTTGCTGTGCAGCCAGCGCAGCATCCATGCGATCCGCAGTACTGCCTGCCATGAACACAGACTTGATCAGTGAGTGCACTTCTGGACAGTCGCAGCCTTCAGTCATCCAAGCCGTCCACCAATTCTTCAGCACCTCGCAGTGTGATGAGATTGCACTTTCGGTCGCAGGCCCGCTGAAAAACTCGTGTAGCGCATTGGAATCCGCCGCCCAGGCGCAGTACTGGTAGCAGGACAGCAGTTGCCTGTAGGGATCGCAAAGGCGCAGTGCACGCTGGGGGGGGCGAGTTGAACTGGAAACATGGCGTTTCGTGACTGCGATTGTCCTGTGTCCAGGATGCTCTTCGCGGCGGCCGCAATCAAGGGCAGCAACACAACTGGGAGCTCCTGGACACGTGCTGGCAATTCACTCGCAAAACTCCCCATGCCATACCCCCTAGCACTGAAGGCATGCTCAGAAATCATCGGGAGACTAGGACCCGTGCATGCTGCCACCACAGACAGAAGACGGCCATCCTGTGCGTTCATGTGCGCTCTGGGAAATCAAAGCTGCAAGTGTTGAGTCAAACCATGGAGACACAATGGAGAAAAAATGTCGGTTCAACACTGCAGTCGGGCTGTCCGATCGAAGGCTCAGCCGCAGACAATCGACGATGCAGCTCCTCGCTCCTGCGAGGAGCTAAGAACAAAGACCCCACAGGGCTCGTCAGAAAGAGTTTGAAATACCAATATACCCACGACTATGCAAAGAGCTACCGCTCAACGAGCTCTCAAGAGCTCCCAGAGAGAAGGCGAAGGATCAATGCGTTGCGAGCTGCCGTCTCGGCCTGGACTATCTCACACGTGGAGAGCAAGCCGTCAGTTCATGTGGCTGTTGAAGTTTGCTCCACTTTGCACCGCTCGCAGATAGCACGGAAAGCATGGCCAGTCGGCTGGCACAATCGTGCTCTGACTGAGGCACCAACATTGAGATCATTCAGGACCTGAGGCGAGATCTATATTTGATCTTTCACTACTATATAAGGTGCCTGTGAGGGGGTAAGGCACTGCTGTTAGGTTTGTACGGCTGTGTGCATGTACATTGCTTGTATGTGTGTGTGTGTGTGTATGCTTGAAAGCATGCATGCATGTCATGTGCAGGTGCATGGTGTGCCGGTGCGCGTGCTTGCAAGCGCGTGTTGCGCCTCACTAGCACGGTCGAAGCTGAAGCAACCATGGCACGAGAAAGAGTCCGATAGCGCAATGAGCTCTAAACACGGATGTCGGAAACGTCCGGGCACAGGCCACTTCGATTTACGATGATTTACGATTTACGATAGTCGCACGTCAAACCATGGAACTAACTCAGCCGGTGACACAAGTCACTCGGCACGCTGATGCAGTCCTGAAGAGCAGATGGTGCGAGGCGGGCAGCACTTTCCAACTGGATAAGAAAAGGCACATTCAGTGAGTAGGAAAAAAACACAAGAAAGGCCTGGCTTGCAGACTGTCTGCACACATTACCACTGACTTCATCAGGCTGAGATGCAGCGGAAGCAGCGCTTTCAGCAAGTGCCTTGCGCCAGGTTCATAATAATCAACACGCACATAGACACGCTCTTGAGGCTTTTCAGGCAGAATATCCTCTGAGTCTTAACTGCTCTGCCGAACCAGCACTTTTTTGGAATGTGCCCCGCTTGTACCTCAAAACAAACACAGAGAGCTGTGACGCCTTGGGTCTGACGCTCCGATGAAGAGCAGTCCTGCGCAATAGCAGACCAAGAGATTACAAGTAGTTCGCTTGTTCCCGATATTTCCCAAGCCAAGGCACGGAGCTCCCCCTCTGGACAAAGTCCATCGGTCCTTTGCGATTTGTGCTTGCGCCGACAGAGACCTCTCGAAACACCGCCGCTGGGGCCGCTCCGATCCGGGCCGCTTGCAGAGCTTCGAAGCGACCGGCAGCGTTTCCCACGGGGAAGAAGGCCGGCGGCCCCAAAGTCGCCTGGGCGACGGGGAGCTTGGCCCTTTTTCTCGACGTGTCTAATTGCCCTGCGGAGACTCGGAGTCGCCGATGCGACTTTGTTATTACGACATCCGCCAGCCTTGCTTAAGTCTCTCTTCCAAGGTCTGCTCTGTTTGTCCCAGTTCCAGATAACCATGGTCTTCAACCACTTCCTGTGAAGGCACCACAAAGCCCTGCGCGAGCAAGATGCATTCGGGTGAGGCCGAGGTTGAATCGAATCCCCCGTGGCTCGTGGCATCCGCCGTCTTTTCAAACCTACGTGCATCACGGCTCGGCTATCTTTGAGGTGTGCAGCAACACATAAGACACTTGATCGATGTCGGACTGCTTTCTGCAGTTCTGAAAGTTCAACTTCCCTGGAAGCCAAAGCGCTGCTTTGTCGGGTGTTTTCCGTGCGGGTTTCGGTGCCATTCTGCACTGAGGCTGTGTCTGGCGCAGCGACTTCCTCGGCCAATTCTTGCGGGTCGCCTCCATCCTGCGACAACTCGACATACCAGTGACATGCATCTGCCTCGCCTAGTTCTCGTGCGTGACACCACATGCGACATGGATTTCTTAACGGATTTCGGTACGCAGCGCATGCTACAGCAACCAGAGTACGAGCAGAGATCTCCTCAAGTGAGAGCGCCTCCCCCGCTGAGAGTAGATTGGCCGCAACTTCTACCGCGTCGGGCTGGTTCTTCCAGGCACTGCCTGCTTTCTCCAGAAGCGTATGTGCCTGCCGCAAACTCTCTCGTCGAGGGGATCGTGACCGAGACGTCAGGCTCCGGCTCACAAGCCGGCGTGCCTCCTGAATAGGTGCTGAAAGCTCGATCGCATTGCCCAGTCCTCGCGCAAGCACACCGCGGCAGCCATCCAGACGTGGCTCTGCGGCAAGGAGCAACCGTTCGATCCTCTTGGCCAAAGTCTTCCGAACACTCTTCGTGCTTTCCAGGCGATTTGCTGCTACGCGAGCCAGAAGGCACAATTCCCAACCCTCCGGTTTCGAAGCAGGGCGCTCTCCGGCTTCTTGCTCGAAGGCTTGCAGGATGTCAGTCCAGAGATCGTCATCCATGGCAAGCAGCCATGCAAAGCCCCCTTGCTCGTACAGAAGACAAATTCGCTGCACGCTTACACGGGTCTGGCCACGCGAGGTTGGCTACGGTGACTTCACAGACCCTGAGGATTGGCGAGACATGAGTTGCCGTTCACAGCTGACATTCACAACTCAACACCTGAGAAGACTCTGGGACTCATGGTAGGATCCCAGCTTTCGTTTTCCAGCCACTCCAATGTTCTCCACCAGGCATGTAAGCCACCAGCGCATTTACATTGAAAATGTTGGTGAAACTCCGGATCCTACTAGGCAGGAGCTGATGTGAAATTCATTCTCGTGCATGCTGCCAGTGACAGCGCGCCACGATCGGGTCTGCACCTCTCTGTCAGCAACCGAAGTCAAGCCTTCATCCGGACTTCACAAATGGGCCGCACATTATTGCAACTTGGTGCTACAATGCACAAACATGTCCTGACGAAGAGAACAAGTGCACTGGAATGAATGACAGCCAGCGGCTTGCTTTGCAAACCATGGAAACCTGCCTCTGCATGCAAGTAACACTATCGTGCTTATTCCAGGGAGGCTGCCACCAATGCATGCAATGATTTTATGCTTGTGCCTCTCGAGTTTCAGCAGTGTTCGTACTGTCAAGTCTTGCTCTGGTTCGTTTTGTGCTCCATGCTGAAAGAACGGGAAGCACAAGGTGGGAAAGCTGCTTTGTGGCCTCGCGTGTGATTTCACAGCAGAGGAAAATGCACTTCCCCCGAAGGCTTGGAAGAGCTCAAGCTCATGAGAAACATCATCAGTGTATGCTAGTTGGGACCGCGTGGCACTGCCTCGCATCACTTCACCAAACATGGACAAACGCGCTAAGTTTCTTGGGAAAACTGCTCCTGCATACCCTCACGACTGTGATCACGCTAGCAACCCGAAATCTCCACTATTGCGGTACCAGCCTGGGATCCTCACATAGCTACTGCAAGCTTCTTCCCTCTGAGCCTCAGAGTTCAATTTCCGCCTGCCCGAGCTGCAGCCATTTCCACCTGCCCAAACACGGGTTCAACACAAGTACCTGCATATACCTGCATCATGCTAAGGTGTGCTGACATAGGTGACTTGGAGGCTCACGCCGAAAAGGTCTCCAGCTCAAGAGAGCGGAGAGGAGAGGCCTGATGCGAGAGCGAGGCGACTCGAAGGTGTCGAAGTCGTGCCTTGGAAGAAGAGCGAGAATACACGGCTCTTGCAAGCGTGAGGCATAGGCTCACAGGCTGACATGCCTACACATGCTAAGATCACAACGCGGCAACCTCCATGGGTGGAGATTCCGCCAGCCCAGTGTCGATCAGCTTGTACAAGATCTGCCGGGAAGAACTACATCCCGAGCCGCAAGCACTCTGAGACATCGCTCACGCTTAAACCCTTCCTGCCGTGAAAGGTGCCTATGCAAAACGTCCAACAGCAACACAACTATGAAGGCAGAAAATCACTCGACTCAAGACACCTGACTTCGGATGAGCCAAGTTTCGAGCTGAGAAGATTTGGAGCGTCGAGGACCCCTACTTACTTGCGGCGTTTTATTTATGCTTCCGTGAAAAACGGAATGTGCATAAACTAGTGCGTCTAAGCTATACGAAGTTCCGCAAGTACTAGCAGGGCCGAGGATGTTCAGCGCATAATTCTACCCTGGGTCCCAAAAGTAGCAATGTGGCTTTTGAAGCTTGGGGCCTCGGGAGTAATCAACCAGATTCCTTACATCATACATGAACCGGGATCGCAAGCAGTTAGGAAATATTAGGAATGGACGTTATTACCGTTTCGGCATGGATGCTCCTGTGGTCACATATGAGGGTTTGGAAATGGATGCTCTGGCGATCGCAGGCAAATAGGAAGGGACCTCATTAGGGTTTGGGCATGGATGCTCTGGCGATCGCGCACAATTTTGGGTTTCGGCGAGGTTTTCCCCCTCTCCTCCATTCCCAACAGTTCCCAACAGAACATGGACGTTAGCACGGGATGCACGGTGCGGAGTGCGGATGGTGCGGATGGTGCGGCAGAAGCGCCCGAAATGCCCAGGCCTGACACGCACGCGTGCGGTACTACTGCTGCTCCTGCTGCTACTACCTTCACCACCACCGCTACCACCACTACCACCATTGTGGCCACTGCCAGCAATGCAACCACTACACCACTACGACCACTGCGACCACTGCGACCACTAAACCACCACAACCACTACAACCGGCTGCTTCTACTGCTGCGGCTGCAGCTGTGGCGGCGGCTGCTGCTGTTGCTGCTGCT